TTTATTAACATAAAGTCCATAATATTCTCTTATTAATTTTTTATTATATGTAAGATCTATAGTAATACCCCCTTTTCATTCTTTTTATTAAATTTGGGGACTGGGGTGCCTGGGAAGCTGAGGTGTCCAACTCTTGGTTTTGGCTCAGGTCATGATCTCAGGGTCATGAGATCAAGCTCTGTTTGGGCTCTGTGCTCAGTGGGGAGTCTGCTTCTCCTTCTCCCACTCCCCCTGCTTGTGTTCCCTCTCTCGCTGTGTCTCTCTCTGTCAAATAAATAAATAAAATCTTTAAAAAAAAAATTCTCAACACAGGAGTAGCAAGGAAACATACCTCAACATAAGAAAGGCCGTAGGTGACAAGCCCACAGCTAACATCAACTCAACGTGAGGGCTTTTCCTCTAAGATCAGGAACAAGACAAGGATGCCCACTCTTGCTACTTTTATTCAGCATAATATTGGAAGTCCTAGCTATTGCAATTAGGCAAGAAAAAGAGATAAAAGGCATCCAAATCAAAAAGGAAGAAGTAAATTGGGACACCTGGGTGGCTCAGTCAGTTAAGCAGCTGCCTTCGGCCTGGGTCATGATCCCAGGGTCCTGGGATCGAGTACCACATCGGGGTGTTTGCTCAGCGGGGAGCCTGCTTCTCCCTCTCTCTCCTTCTGCTTGTGCTCTCTCTATCAAATAAAAAAAAAAAATCTTAAAAAAAAAAAAAGGAAGAGGGGCGCCTGGGTGGCTCAGTCGTCCTAAGATCCGCAGTTGATAGCTGGAGCCGTGGGAGACCTGATGGTGAAGTTCCAGTTTGAAAGTGACAAAACCCTAAAAGAGCTGATGTTTCAGTTTGTGTCTGAAGGCAGGTAAAGATCCATGTCCCACATGAAACAGGCAGGAGGAGTTCCCTCTTTCTTAGGGAAGGGACAACCTTAAAAACAAAACAAAACAAAAAACAAACCCCAACAAAACCAGCCTTCAACTGATTGGAAGAGGCCCACCCACACTGGGGAGGGTCATCTCTTTGATTCAGTCCACTGATACACATGTCAGTCTCATCTAGATATACCCTCACAGACACCCCTGGAAAAATGTTTGAGTGAATGTCTGGGCACTGTATTGCCCATTCAAGTTGACACATAAATTAACCATCATGTACGATGTTAGTAATAGGGGAATTTGATGTGGGTTATATGGGAACTCTGCTATCTTCAGAATTTTTCTGTAAACCTAAAACTGTTCTTAAAAATACTATTTTTTAAAATGCCAGAAGGATTTGAAACAAGAAAGATTCTCTTGCTGGCCTTGAAGTAGCAAACAGCATGTTGTGAACTACTTATTGAGGGAGCCCTGTGGCAAGAGTCTGAGGGTGCTCTCTAGGAGCTGAGGACAGTCCCCGGCCGACAGCCAGCCAGAAGTCAGGACTTCAGTCCTACTCCCTCAAGGCTCTGAATTCTGCCAACAAGCAGTGCCCTTGGAGGAGGACCCTCAGATGTGCACCGTGGCCCCATGACCCCTGATGTCAGTGAGTGAGACCTGAGCAAAGGACCAGCAACCCACATCTGGACTGCTGACCCTGGAAACACTGAGATTATGAGCACACTGTTCTGAGCTGCTGGGTTACACAGCAAGAGAAACTGATATATCAGGTAACAATGGCGTGAAATGTTCCTGCTATTATGACCAATGACATGTCCGGGTTACATTAGGCATCATTTAATATGGTACATATTAAAGAAAATAAAGTGTAATAAAGTTTTATTTTCATTGCCAAAGGTGAAAGGACAAAGCAGCCAAAGGACTTCTCTTCTGGCACTTTGGTGACTGTATTTGTCAGGGTTCTACCAGAGAATCAGGACCAACAGGATGTGTGTGTGTGGGGGGGGTAGAGATGGGGCAGGGGTTGGGAGGTTACTCTAAGGAATTGGCTCATGTGACTGTGCAGACTTGGTGAGTCCAAAATGTGCAGGGTGGGCCAGCAGTCTGGAGGCCCAGAGAGCAGCTGATGTGGCTTGAGTCCAAAGGCCATCTGCTGGCAGAATATTCCTTCTTGCTTGGGGAAGTCAGTCTTTGCTCTGTTAAGGCCTTCATGATTGAATGAGGCCCACCTACACGGTGGAGGGTAATCTACTCAAAGTCCACCCATTTAAATATTAATCTCGTCCAAAAATCACCCTCACAGGAATATCCAGAATGTTTGACCCAATATCTGGGCACAACAGCCCGGCTGAGCTGACACATAAAATTACCCATCACACCAAAGAACGGTCCGGGTTGTGAATTGCTGACTGTGGAGTGGCACTGGAGTGTCTTGGGCATGTCCCACATGGGAAGGGCCTCTTTGGGAGCAGGGCTTCAGGGCAGTGGAGTGCAGAGGTGGGCTGGGGAAGGGGCAGCTGGCCCCCCCATGAGATCTCTACCCACGAGCTCTGAGTTTTCAGTAAATGCTGCTACACATAAGAAACACTTGGTGAAAGTGTAGTGTCTTTGTAGATAGAAGGAAGAGGCTGAGTTTTGTGGTCTGGGTGAGAGTTGGATCTTTCTGGAAGTGGACATTCAGTTTTGAATGAAAGAGCAGGAAGCATCCATTTTTATATGACTAGAAATGGTTCTTTTTTTTATTTATTTTTTATTTTTTTAAAAGATTTTATTTATTTATTTATTTATTTATTTATTTATTTATTAGAGAGCAAGCGAGAGAGAAACAGCATGAGAGAGGAGAGGGTCAGAAGGAGAAGCAGGCTCCCCGCTGAGCAGGGAGCCCGACGCGGGGCTCGATCCCAGGACCCTGGGATCATGACCCGAGCCGAAGGCAGTCGCTTAACCAACTGAGCCACCCAGGCGCCCTAGAAATGGTTCTTAAACATGTCTGTGCATCACAGTTCCTTAGGAGGGCTATTGTGACAGTGGACTGGGACTGCCACAGAGTTTCTAATTGATTTCTAACAAGTTTCCAGGTGATACTGATGCTGCTGGTCCAATGCTTTGTGCGATGAAATAGATTTGCAATAAAAATAATATGCAAATGTTTGGGGCGCCTGGGTGGCTTAGTCAGTTGAGCATCCGACTCCTGATTTCAGCTCAGGTCATGATCTCGGGGTCGTGGGATCCAGTCCCATGTCGGTCTCTGCACTCAATGTGGAGTCTGCTTGTCCCTCTGCTTGTCCCTCTGCTCGTGCTCTGTCTCTGTCTCTAAAAGAAACACATAAATAAATACAATCTTAAGTAACATGCAAATGCTTGCCTGCAAGTGCATGTTTTCTGGGTCCCTGATGCTGAGAGCTTGTGTTGTCAGTGCCTCTCTGCTTTCTCCAGCAGTTTCTGTGCTTCCCAGTACGGACACAGGGTGGTGCCATGTGCCATGCTGTCACCCCAGACCTTCCAGGTGGCCTGGCAGCTGTGAGTGGGAGGATGTGTGCAGGCGGCTGGTCTCTTCTACCCAACCCCCAGGGGCAGTAGCGACAGGTCAAGGGCAGAGATAGGTATGTGCTGGGTGTGCGTGGATGAAGGAGATGATGGTGAAGATTCAGGTGACAGGGGTACTTCTGTCTGCCAGAGCCTTCAGGAGCTCTTCCTGAAGCCACTCCTGTCCAGAATAGGCCGGAACAGGCCTGGCTCACCCTGATCCCTGGGACCTGCTCCCTCTCCAAGCCTTGGTTTCTCCTGCTGTTACAGGGGACTCATCTGACGCTGCACCCCTCAGAGACTTTCACTTTCTTGTTCCTTGTGACGCCCTGCCCCCCGGCCACCACTCCTTTCTCCATGGGTCATCTCATTTTCCTTCCAGGTGGAAGAGGAGAATAGTCCAGGACACAGAGCAGTGGTCTGTGGAGGCTCAGTGTGGCCTCAGAGCAATGAAGGGAGAGGCCATGCCATCTGTGTCTGCTGGAGGCAGCAGGGATCTGTGTCGGATTTGGTTTGAACAAGTGGTTCTGGGGACTAAAAACCCAGTCAGGTTGAGGTCTGAAGCTCACCACTGGGTGGTAGAGCCCCCGGAAGCTATGTGAGCGTGGAAACAAGGAGGGTAGGTTTGTGCTCAGAAAGGTTGGAAAGGTTAGGCCTGTGGGAATGGATGAGAAGGAGTTGAAAGCAAAAGCTGGTGTAGCATAGAAGTTTGAGGGCGAGGCCCGGGACATTTCTCTCCCTTGGACCGCAGTCCCCAGCCCCCTTGTCCTGGCCCTCACCAAGGCCTCTTCCATCTAGTACCCCCCCAACTCCTTATAACCCTGCCCCCCCAAGCTGGGAAGGGTGGAGAAGGCCTTCCTTAGAACCAGGCCTGGGTGGTTGGGGACAGCAGTTCTTTTCTGTGAAAAAAGAAACACTGTAGGCTGCACAATTGATCGTCTGACCCACAGTCTTATTCCTGACCGGACCCCAAAGCTATAATTAAAGGTTTAGGCGGAAGGGATTACTCTAGAGGAGGGGCAGAGCCCCCCACGGCCTGAGGCTGGCATCGGGACTTGGGACTCAGCATTGCTGGAGATAACATTCAGGACACACTCCCTCCTCCAGCTTCTGAGGGCTTGCCTCCTCTCTGGAAAACCAAGACGAAGGAAGACGGTGGGAGGTGGGGTGGGAAGCCCAGAAATGAGCCTCACATTTAGAACAAGTGTGGTTTCCAGGGAAGAACAAATGTAAAATCACGTCTCCCATGCAATGTATTCAGATCAACTCACCATTTCTAAACAGGCGGACCGGGGCGTGATCGTACCCCGTGAGGGTGGTGACCGCGGCTGAGTCTGGGGTCAGGTGCCCTGCTGCTCCTCAGCTCTGGCCTGCACCCACGCCAATCAGGTCGGAGATGGCTAAAGGGTGCACTCTGGGCTGTGAACTTTATCGCTGTGCACAGTAATCTAGGTCATTCTGACAGTAGAATGAAACCCTGCTGAATTCCTTCTCGTCTGACTCGGGTGTGTTCTCCTCAAGCCAAGCCAGTGCTGGCCATGCAACGGAAACTGTATTTGTCCTTCCAACCCCAGCCAGTCAGCCACCTCCCCCCCAACTCTCCTTCTTTCCCTCCCCAACCAGCCTTCCAACACAGACTGAAAATCTGCCAGGCGCCAACAGTTCTGTGATGAATCCAACAAAGTTCATGCCCTCATGGGGCTTATATTCCAGCCATGAAAGCGGACCGTCAGTAAGGTATGTCTGAGGAGAGGTCATTGGAACAGGACCTTGCAAAGGCTGTCCAGGCAAAGGAACCAGTGTGGAGGGGAGTGAGGTGTGTCTGGAATGAGGCAGGGGGCTGGCATTAGTGGGTTGGGTGCAGGTGAGGGCAAGGTCAGACCGTTCAGGCCTGGGGAAGCCAAGGGAGGGAGGTGGGCCAGGCCTGTGGAGGAGGCTGAACTGCCTCAGTGGTAGGAGCTGGTTGTTGCCCAAGGGCTGCTCTGGCTACTGGGTGGCGCAGTCCCAGAGGACACGTTCAAGGTTGGACTGGGCGAGGGTGGGGAATCAGCTTGGTGGGGTGTGGTGATGTTGGTGACCTGGTGTGGAGTGTGAGCACCAGAGGAAAACGAGGGTGGTGCTCAGACATTTGACCTGAGCAGCCGGGAAGGGAAAGAGCAGGGGGACACACTGCAGGGCCTTGGGAACTCCACCAAAGGTGGGGATAAGGGTCAGCATCAGTACATCCTAAATATCATGATTGATAAGCAGCTGGGGTGTCACAGCCAAATGAGGCCTGGAGAAGGTGGATGGAGAGATTGCAAAAGTCCTGGGGCTGTCAGGGGTCAGGCAGGATCTGGACAAGCTGGAAGGAAGACCAGGGGCTCGTCATCCAGTAACCAAGGACAGAGGGGCTGGAGAAGCTGCTGGGGACTTGAGCTTGGCATCTGACTCACCCCAGGGGCTCAGGGTCGCTGCTCTCCTGGAGGACAGTAACTGGGGTCGACAGTGGGTCACATCTGGTCACTTCCATTATCTCAAGGAAATCAGCAGCAGGTCTCCGACGAAGGTGTGTCTGTTATGTGTAGGGGGTTGTTGGTACAGAGAGAAGGTGTGAAATAGCCTCTCAGAGAGCAGGAAAACAAATTTACTGGTAGATGTTTGCTGTGGGAAGAAATGAGTAACTCATTTTCTGTAGAAAAAGGAGAAGAGAGGCAGGGAGGCTCTGAGCTCACACGTGGCATGTGGGCGGGTTACACGCCGATTACCCCAGGGCTGGTGGGTACCGTGGACCCAGCACATTTGGCCCTGGGAGCCTTTACCCGAATGTGGGCCCAGAGGCAGGGGCCTCAGTGCCCCCTGCCCCTGAACTCACACTCACAAAGTGTCTGCTGACCTTCGGTGCAAGCGTGAGGGACTCCCCTGGGAACTGAGGCTGTCATGTCCGTGACAGCACTGCCAGAATCAGCGGGGGGCTGTTCAGACTCACCACGTGCTGCGCCTGAGAGGAGCGGGGCTCCGAGAACACCCAGCTGGACCATCGGTTAAGAATCAGAAGGCTGGGCAGCTCAGCCAGGAATTCCTAAGTGAGAGAATTTTAAAATAGCTCTACACGGCGCCGCCAGCTGACACTCCAGATACTTAGGACTCACTCTTACCTTAGGTCACGTTCCCCCTCTTGCATTCTCAAACTCTCCAACTCCCCTGGTCCTGCTTCTTTGTTGAGTGCCTTTTTCACAGAGAAATGAAGGCCCTTTGAAGAGAGGGCCAAGCCTGCCTGCACTGCGAAGGGCTCGAAGCCCCTCGGGTGCTACAGCAGGGACAGTGCCTGGAGGCTGCTGGCCCGAGGCTGGCTCTCGCCCACTTCCAAGCGGGCGTCCTCTCTGCCAAGCACCATGACAAGAGGGGACAGCTGCAGCTCCCCGCCTTGAGCTATAAAAAGCCCCAACACCCGAGTGAGCAGATACACGAACTTTGCTGGACTCCAGGAGGAGCTCGGCTCAACTACCATGCTGAGATTAGGCTGTACCACCAGGCTGCTGCAGGCCCCTCTGAGGGGCTGGGTAGTTCCCAAGGCGCACGTCTCTGCCAAGCCAGCCCGGACACCCACTTCTCCCACGGTGAGTACCTCCAGTGCCGTAGGAGTGCTGACTCGAGCAGGGGGCGTGGGCAGTCCTGCATTGTGTAGAAGATGAGGTGGGTTTGGGGGCAGGATACAGAAGGCCAGGCTGGTAAAGGGGAGGAGGAATATATTCTCAGGCCTGCAGCCTCTAGAGGTGGTCCTCGTGCTAGAATGCAGTCCTATGGCTGGGACACTGTCCTTCCTCCAGGAAAGAGGTCCTTGCATCCATCGCCTGGAGGTCAGGCTCCCAAAGCATCCAGCAGAGTCATTGAGGGGATGGTGGTCTCTCTGTTTTCAGGCCCCCTGCGTTCTGGCCTAATGAGGGGTGCTAAGAGCTGAGCTTGAAGGGCACTCAGTGTATATTCCAGATTCGTCGCTCATTGAAGGGGAAGAATGGGTTGCTTTGAGGGTCCGTGAGAGCACAGGCAAAAACACAGACCTCAGTCACTCTCGTGCTCCAGGAGAGCAGACAACTACCTCTGTGTTAAGCATCAATAACCCAAGGTCTCGAAGGTCATTTGTTCAAGGTCATATGACCGGTGAAGCTAAGATCTGAACCCAGCCTAGGGGCCCAGTTCTGGGCAACGTTGCTCTGAATCCGCTGGAAGGCCAAGTCAAGAGGAAGAATTGGTTTCTGACCCGGCATTGGACTCTGTTTTAGGGAACAGGGAGGGATGATTGGGCCCGGGCTCTGTTTCAGGAGGAATCCGAGTATAGCTGGTTCTTTGGAACCTGGCTCCAGGTGAGATGGCCTTCGTGTGCTTGTGTGTGCGTGCACATAAATGCACACGCAGCATGGGGAGTCCTATTTCCTCCAGCCAGGCTTCTGAGCAGGACCGCCATTTAGGGAAAAGGCCCTGCCCTTGTTTGTGGGACCCGAATCTCAGCTGTCTCTTCTGTCCTGCACAGCACCTGACACACACGTCTGCCAGTATCCGGGAGGGAGGGCACATGTTGCGTCTGGTCAGGAGTTCAAGGTCGAGGGACACATGGCCTGGCCAGGCAGGCTCTTGGGGGAGGAGGGGGCTATGATAAGAGGTCCTGCTCCACAGAGACTGGGGCCCAGGGCTGCTAGTCTGGGTCTCTGCAGAGGCTGTCCACACTGATGATTACAGTAGTCCTTGCTCGTGCATTGCAGGCTTTCTCCACCTGACAAAAAAGAAGTCTGGGGCTGGGCTGAGGGTCCCACAAGAGCAGAGGGGGCAGGGCAGGATGTCTCTAACTCTGGACGGCTGCTCTGGTTAGAAGGCATCCCACGCTGCAGGGACAGGGGACAGAGAGGCAGATAGACAGCCTTCCTCAGTGAGCCAGGAATGACCTGGTGATGGTCTGGTGGACTCACATGTGCTTTCCTCAACCCAGGAGCAAGCCATTGGGCTCTCTGTGATGTTCCTCAGCTTCCTGATTCCTGCGGGCTGGGTCTTAGCCCACGTGGACAGCTACAAGAGAAGCTCTGCAGCATGAAGGCTCTGTAGCTTGGGCTCGGGCACAGGGCCAACGGTCCCATTAAACCCCTCCCTCCACCCAGTGTTCACTTGGTGGCTATCATTTGTGTACGAGCACCCCCTCCCTGGACACTCAGCACTGGGCTGAGGGCTGCTGGCTGGGGCGCTGGGGCACCGGGGCCCCATAAGCCCCTGGCTGGGTGGTAGTGGGTGGACACCATGTCTGAGCCACAAGAGATAGGACTTGCTTCCCCGGCCCCGTGCCCTGTATGTGCAGGGCTGCCCTTTTCCCAGGGTAGGAAAGGAGGGCTGAGGCCAAACCCCCACCAAGCCCTACCTCCCATCTCCTGCTTTCTAATCTCTTAGGCCCAGGCTTGACCTGGAAGCTAAGACTAAGGAAACAGAACCACAAAAAGGACAAAACAAAGGCGTTTATTATAGGAACATTCTCATATGACACCAGAGATGTTCACACAGGTGGATGTAATGGAGATGAGCCTCCAAGTGGTGTCCCCACACACTTCAGAGCTACTCCTTCTCATTCCTTGGGGCACATGCACACTCTTGCCCGCCTCGTCACCGGAGACCCGTGACCCCTCCCCACTGTGGGCTACGGGAGAAACCCACAAAGGAGGCTTCTCTCTGCGGCCAGGCCCCCTATCAGTGATAGTCCTGTTTTCACAGCAGGAAGAACAGTCCCCACTCCACAAACAGAATCCCACCCCCCATCCCCAATTAAATGCAGATCTTCTCAGCTGCCACAAATGGGCGAGGTGGGGGGCGCTAGGTGAGGATATCGTGGGCCTGGTGCTCCACCAGCATCTCCATGCTCCTCACATCGGTGCACCAGAATTCCAGGCGGTCCTTCATCCCCTTGATCTGAGGCAAACCAGGACCACACGGGTGTTAGGATACTTGGGAATCCCAGGCGTACATCTCCAGCTAATTCTTTAGGGCAGCACTAATAAAAAGGACACCCGAGCTGGGGGAGTGGGCTGTGTGAGAGGGGATCATCCCAGTCAATTCTTATCGCAAGGACATTTAAAAAAACTTGCATGAAAGAAAACAGGTAAGAATAGAGGAAATCCACAGGATTAAATTTCCAGCAAATATGGACAAGATGGATCTGAGCTCAAACCACAGAACTAGGAACATATTTGATCAGAGTACCAATTTTAAGATTAAAAGGCATCATCAGCACAACCAGCACTGTAATTATGATAAGCTTTTAAATGCAGGGTTCAAACCCCAGGCCTAAATTAGGTTCTTTGAAAAACCCTTAGTCCCCACAGCAATAATACATTCTCTGAAATCTCTCGTCAATACTGCTTTCTTCCTAAATGGCATCCATCCAAGCGAAACTAAGACAGCACAGATACCATCCGAACCACCCACAGAAGTGAACTATGTGTTACCTGCTGCAGATCTAACACTCGGGGCTGCACCCAGGTCATGTGAACCCGCTTATCCACCTCATCAATGCTGCCTTTCACCAGACCCACCGAGAGCGCCTTCATCACCAGCAACTCCACCTGCTCAAAGAGGGGCTGATGTGAGTCACCCGAAGGCCCTAAAGTGTGGGGGAATGAGACAGTGTCTTCTGTGGTTTGGGGTCTGGGGAGCCGTGCTTATGGGAGCTCCGACCCCTCTGGGTGGCAGCTTTACCAATGGACCGTCCTGAGTCCAACAACTGTACCTCGTTCACAGTGATTTTAGCACTCTTGGCAATTTCTTCAAAAGTGAGTTGTCTGTGATTGGCAGGTCGTGTGAAAGTCATCTGAAAAAGAATTTTTTGTCAACTATTTTTCCAAATAAAAATTGTCAGAGAACGAACTGATAAGGATGTTTTTGTCAATTCTTGCTCTGAAAATACAGATCTTATTACTATCCCACATACTAAACTTTTCCTTAACATTAGCCATGTATAGGGCGCCTGGGTGGCTCAGTCGGTTGGGTGACTGCCTTCGGCTCAGGTCATGATCCTGGAGTCCCGGGATCGAGTCCCGCATCGGGCTCCCTGCTCAGCGGGGAGTCTGCTTCTCCCTCTGACC